TATAATTTTTAGATTTTTAGTTTTTGATTATAACCCTGCTGCAGAGTTTTTATTTTTTCCTTTATTAAATTTGTTGTTAGCAATAAATTATTGAGCCAGTACATAAGAAATTGGCATTCAAAACCATGTTTTTTTTCCACCGAGCAGACATTATCGATTTTAATTCAGAGCTGTCAAGTTTGATTCGGCTAGAAATTTCATGTTTCAACAACAGATGGAGATAGAGAGGACAAAATTATGTAGTGTACCTTTAAGAGAAATACAGTAAGAAAGCCATCAAATTAATGTGGATAGCAGCTCAGATCATCTGATCTTGGACAAATTTGATGAGCAATGTTTGACTTCATACTGAGATCATGACATCTGTTTGCAGACCTATCTTGGCATATCTGAATACAAATTGAGTCACTGTTGAAATCTCTGGCTAGTTACTGGGGTCTTTTTCTCAAAATGTTAGAAACAGAAATGCAAGTGTTGCTCTATTTGCTCTACATTGCTGTCCACGACAAACTGGCAATCGGGTAACTCTGCAGGAAGGAACTTGTTTAATTGTTCTGAAACTCTTTCTCGTTCCTCCAGATGAGTCCGGTGTGACCCCTCCACCCAGCCTCGCTCCAGTGATGCAGGTCCCAGCCCCTAAAGAAACCCCCAGAGGAGTTGCATCCATGGGGCAGGACTTCATAGAGTCAGTCCTGTCTCGTAAGGATCATATTCTGGCTCAGAAGGGTGTGACTCTTCCCAGCGGTTTACCCCCTAATCTAGTGCCCATGTTGGGGAAGGGGCTGGGGGCCGGAGCAGAGGCCCTGTCCCCCGACCAGCCCCTCCTGAGAAAGATGCTCCCCTCACACAGCGCCTCTTTACCTCCAGCCTACGAGCTCCCCACCGAACCCCCGGAGGCCGTCGCAACGCCGAGCTGGGATACAGATGCTCCGACCCCACATCCCAAACCTTCAGGCTCTGCTGCGGCCCCCACAACTGTGAGCGCTGAAACAGCGCCTGGGGCTTTCACCTCAGGTAAGACCGAGAGTTTTACAGAAACCTAGTAGAAAACTAATAGATGTTCCTCATGCTGCTGTGCATTTACACATAGATGACCTCACTAGCTCTCACTGAAAGTGAATGACTTCTGAGTGCTTTGTTACTTTTTATTGCAAATTTTCTGATATTGTGTTAAAAAAAACACCAAGTGGAACACCACATCACCCAAAGATGTGAATAAAATATCCAAAATGAGCATTCAAAAAACTTGTGGTCACTTGAGGTGGATAATTTTCAGTAAAAAGACATGCACATTAAAAAAAGAGTAATGTCACTGTGCTTAAAGTCATGTGACTAAATAATTGGCACAGATGCAATGTCGTTATTGCTAATTAAAGCTATTAAAATTGTTTTTGTTCATTGAAATAATGCTGAAATAAAACAATATATAAATATTAGTTGAAAAACTTAAACGGAAATTAGAAATGTTTTGGCAACAAACTGAAATAAAATAAGTTGAAGTACTAAAATTACTAAAACGAAAACAGAAATAAAAATAAAGATCAATAGAAATATTAAAAACCAAAACTGAATAAAAATGAAAAAGCATATAACAAAGTGAATAAACTTAAACAAAATTTTAAATGAAAACTGAAAATATAAAAAATATATGTTTAAATAAAATATGAAAAAGTTATTTTGAAAAGTTAATTGGAAATGTTAATAAATACTATAATAGTGTACAAATAATACTAAATTATTAATAAAACTAATACTAGAGCATTTAGTCTAATTAATAATAATCTATCATAATTATTACGACAATGTCTGTTTGTACCAAGTGCAATGGCTATTTTCACTAACTCAGATATTTTATTTTTATTACTAATAATACCATATTATAAGACACTTTGCATTCATAGCTTCTGTCACGGTTTACATTAGTGTGAACAAAATATTTATTGCTACTTACACTTTGTGCAAACAGCATCTAGCTTAAATAGCATCTACCATTAACTTAGCATGCACTTAGCTTAAATAGATGTAAAAGAGCAATTTGCAACAATTTCCCCCAGAAGCGCTGATTTTGATTTTGATTGTGATTTTGGTGTCCTCAACTAGCCTCGCTATGAAACCATGCTTGTTGAGCAGTTCACACAAGTTTTGCTTGCTTATGCAAGATCCATTCCAAACTTTAACTATCCAGTATAAACTGTCCTGAACCAGCATGGAAATTGGAACTGGGTCATTCCATGTCAACTCAACCAGAGGTCCCCGGCTCAAATTTTTGATTTTGTAAAAAAAATTCTGAAGAAAGATAAACATGTACAGTGATGAAAGCCAAAATATTAAATGTCATCAATGTATATTTATTGAGTAATCCACTATTTTGTAGAGGAGTGCAAAAATGGCCAAAATGGCCATTTTCACCTGAGATTCTGAGCCAAATTACAGGGGGATAAAAATGATTTTAGAAAGCTGGCAGCATAATTATTTTATTTTTACACAGAGATTGGTAGCTCTATTAGTAAAATGTGTTGACTTTAGCAGTCTTTGTTACATTATATGCCAATGGTGACAGTTCAAAAATGCCTGTAACTCAAGAAGTATTAAAGATATCTCAATATCCTTTTAGATTCTGGTTCTTAACAAACTTTCCTTGTGGTATCTTCATTTTAAAGGCTCTCAATGATTCAGTCCCTGAGATATGGAGATCTCGATGCGGCTCCATGAGTAAATTGGTAAATTGATCACATTTTCAGAGGTCAAAACCAAATGTGGGTCATTTTGCATACAGCTGATACTTTTTTGTTTTAAAGAGGAATGTCTGAAGAATAAATCATGTTAAAACTAGAAAATGTATCTCATTTTTTCCTTTCAGCTCAACTGCATAAACATACCTGTCTGAGTGCCATAAATATAATTTTTCTAAAGTTATCATGCCTGTAACTCTAAAAGATGGCTTAATATCCTTCTAGATTCTCATTCTTAATGAACGTTTCTTTTGAAATCTACAAAATAGTGGATTACTCAGTAAATATACATCGATGACATTTAATGTTTTGGCTTTCATCACTATACATGTTTATTTTTACAGAAAAATATGAACAAAATTAAAATAAATGGAGCTGGGGAAGTTTCTGAAATTTGGTTGATTTGACACGGAATGACCCAGCTAGCAAGCAAGCATTTCCAGCAGGGAAATACACAGCTACAGCTACATGACTGTTGTTTTCCATCTCAAATCCCCTCTTTTGACATTCTCAGACGAATGCTTGGGTTTTTAATGTCATCTGTCTGGCATTTTCCTCCAGCTGTAACGAACTGCAAGGTCAATTTCTGCGACCCAGAGGGCTACATCGATTCTTCAGACGATCCGCCCCTCCCTGAAGGAGCGTTCCTGCAGTGCACTTACACAGTGACCGTCTACACAGGCTACGGTGTGGAGCTACAGGTACCTTTTAATATGAGCTTTGAGTATTGCTTCCATTAATCATATTTTCCTCCACCTCCAAATGATATGACAAACTGCACTGGATATTCTTGACTGAATGGGCACCTGTTAATGCATGGATCTCTTTAAATGACATGCTAATAGACTGTGTAATCCAACAAATAAGCAGCTGCAGAACACCGACCACAGCATGTGGCCCCGAGGGAGTTATCTGGAAATGCAATCTGCTGCCTAACAAGCTTTTTTTTTTCCCCTGCAATGCAATCCTATTTCCCCTGTGCCTAGCACATTTTCTGGACACCCTCGGATACAGGTGACTGCGGTTAACAACCCTGCGTCCAGTCGAACGTGCCCTCTAGTGGCACGTGGTGTAATTGCACGGATCTAATTACTGGAGTCGAGCGCTTGGGGCCGGCAGCAGTACGTTACCAGAGAGCCAGAGCCACACAAGCAGATGTTAATGAGAGAAACGGGGAGCCGTTTCTCTTCGTCGGAGCCGTACTGCCGCAATGCCCGCATGCAGCCAGCTGTAATCCCGTGTCCACGTCCGCTGTCCCTCTGCAGATGATTCACGCCTGTGACATAATCTCTAATTACCGCTTTAATCCACAGCCAGAGGCCTGCTGAGTGTCTGTGTGTGTGTGTGTGTGTGTGTGTGTGTGTGTGTGTGTGTGTGTGTGTTAAATATTCTGTCTCAAGGGATTAAAACTCTTCCAATTAATTTGGTATGTATACACACACACACACTGTCCTCATGGGATCGGATGAGATATGGATAATCCATGCTGGCTGTGATATGCTTTAAAGTCAACATGAAATCAAAATGCACTCTTTTTACTTAATGCATTTTCCAGCTGTTGTTCACAATTTATTGGTGCATGTTATTTCAAGTAAAATAAAAAATGTTTAATGCATCAAAGTGTATTAAATATCTCTGAAATTATTTTATCAAATATTATTTTTCTATGAAAATGTAACACCAATGACACATTTAAATGCACCATATGAAAAATATGTAAATGTAAATGAATTACTTTTTCAACATGGTGTGAAAAAAAAACTATTTAAAACCTTTGGCCTTTGAAACCTTTTATATTTTCAGAATAAAAGTGTCTAACATTGATACTAATGACAATTTTGACACTATATATAATTAAGCATCGTTTTAAATATGTTTTAAAATAAATGTGTGTGTAGCATTTTTAATATCTTTATTAAAATATAAAAAATGTATAGTATTTTATTTTTATTTATTACTGTATTCAATATTTCAAATAATATCAGTGTATATATAACATTTATTATTAAATGAAATATTGGATATATAATTATAATGAATATAATAATCAAATTAATTTATGTTAATAATTAATATATAATTGAATTTATAATAGTTATGTGCATATACATATTAAATATTTACAGTAATTTGTTTTTATTATATTAATTATGATGTATTAATATCAGTATATATACAATTCAGTATTATATACAATATTTGGTATATAATTATAATAAATGTAATAAGTTCATTTATAATAATTAATAAAAAATGTAACAGGCACACACACACACACAGATAGATAGATAGATAGATAGATAGATAGATAGATAGATAGATAGATATACATACAAAAAAGCAA